CAAGCCCCCCCCCCCCCCCGCCAAACTCCTGAAGGTTACAAGGGATGGGAAAAGCTGCTTATAAAGTGTTAAACACCTTTCCCCTTACAACCAGCAGCAGGCAATCTGTGGGTGACAGTTCCCCCTCGCCCTGCAATGGATGATTTTAGCATCTATTGGTGATTATTGCCTGCATCACTCATTTCAATAGGGATTGCAAAATGGTGATGTTCCTGTTTCCTTTATCCCTTTTCCATTTATTCACCAGCAGGTTACTGAGTTGCTAAACACAGTGAAGATTCCTTACCTGTGAAACCATTTCTTTGTGACTTTTCTGTCTATCCACAGTGTGAGAAATGAAACGTAGGACAAAAACGGAGAGCAGAGAGGGAGAGAGGCTGTTCATACAAAAGGACTTTCAGAGCCCTGGGGTCAGCACAATGGGTTAATTAGAAGCTGGACAGGAAGAGCTAACTTGGCTGAAATATTACACATTCCTATTTGAAAGGGCACATTGCTTTTGAATTTAGGCATCACTGGTTCTCCTTGAACTCTCGAGTTTCTTGGCTTACTCATTTACTACATTCTTTAAATTACTAAGCCATTAACGTGTACCTACATGACTGCGGCCAGACAGAGGCAGGTGCTGGGGAGAAAGAAAATGGGGCGGCAGGACAAAAACAAGGCATCTTTATAGGAGGGTACTTCAAGAAGCTCATGGAGAGATTCACGCCATCTTCATTCTGTTTTTCCATGAAAGTTTTGAAGTACCCTCATATTTATGAAACACTTTTATCATCCACTAAATACTTCCTCGGAAATTGCCTTTGTCATCACAACAACCCAGCAAGACAGAGAAAAGGGCCATTACTGTCCTCATTTCCAGATGAAAACTGAAATGAAGACAGTATTAGCAACTTGGGGATTAAGTGTTTGATCATCCACTAAATACTTCCTCGGAAATTGCCTTTGTCATCACAACAACCCAGCAAGACAGACAAACGGGCCATTACTGTCCTCATTTCCAGATGAAAACTGAAATGAAGACAGTATTAGCAACTTGGGGATTAAGTGTTTTAGCTCACAATTGGAACTACTCAGCTTCCCTTTTTTTCTTTGTTTTTCCTATTTTAGTAGTTAGATGAGAAAAGAGAGTTAGTTTAATATAAATGGAAGCTTTTCTTCTCCTGTAAATGTGACGCTGATGGGTAACTGTGAGATCCAGGAAAATGGAGGTAAATCTGATTAAAGATAATTAGTACGTGAAAAGCTAACACAAGTACTTCGTGTTGAAATGGAAACAAACATTTTTCTGGGAAAGTGAATAAACTAAAATTAATTGGATCATTATAAAAATACTATGTAGATATATGGAAAAATCCATAACCATAAAGGAAATGCATATGACCGCAAATGTTTTTAATGATATGAAAAATTGTTTAAATTGAAATTATAGTCAAATTAATAATACATACATTCTGTTCTTGCAAAAAGTGGAAACATTAATCCTAATCAGTGTCTAAACACATAAATAAATAACTACTTCCCCCTGAGATGATTACGAACGCAATAGAAACCCATCACAGACAACTGTTTGCCTTAATTTCTTAAAGGAATTAAAAGGTCTCGAGATAATGTAAAGTTTGCCATTCTGGAGCACAGAGATTTCTGGTCCAGAAATGAACACTGAAGTTAAGCAGTTGCCGTGACCACTGTACAAGGCTGCAGCACTCACCAAGGATGGGGACTCCTTTGTGACAGGCTGCAGCTGTCACCAACACTGCTGAGCACCCGCCACTTCTACAAGCACAGCTTTTCACCACATACACACCGTGTATGTAACCACCTACTTGATGCTGACGCATGGGGCTGCTCTGTAAATGGAAGACCAGCTTCCTTCCGACACTCGTCTGAGCTCACAGATCCTGTCCCTGGCAGAGCTTCAGGGAAGCTCTGAGTGCAGCCTATTCAGGGCTGGGCCTCCACCCTCACTTCCACATGCCTGAAATTCAAAGTAGCAGGTGGTGGTCGCATTTGTACCTTCCATACGCTGCCCAGATATGGATGACCCAGAAAAAGCTGTCCTTTCTAGAGTCTTATGAAATCATGTAACTGGGTCTACCTACTGCTACGTTCTCTTATGCTTCATACTTAAAGTAACAGAGATACATGTTAATGTGAAAGAAGTCATCCTCTTTGTGGCAGCATGGAGTAGTGGGGAAAGCACGGCTTTCGAAGAGCACTGGGTTCAAATCCAGGTTACCTACTTAGTAGCAAATTATTTTCTTTTATATATTCCTTTACCTAAATACTCAAGTTCATACTCCTGTGTGGGTGGGAAACTAACTGGAACCTTAAGGTCCAATTTAGGCCCAAATGTGGAAAGCAAGTCTCCTAACACTGAATGGCCCAGTGCGGGCAACAGTACACGAGGGGCAAATGCCCTCAATCATTTCTCCAAATGCTGAACACAGACCAGTAGCCTTAGAATCACTGGCGGTGTTCATGAACGAGGCAGTTTTCAGGCCCCCACTCCAGACCTCTTGAGTCTGAGGCTGGGGTCCAGGAATCTGCTGAGGACTCTTCTGAAAGCTCAAGTTTCAAAACCACTGCTCACGAGGGAAAGAAATACATTAGGGGGTAAGACTGAGCAGCTGTCAGATCCAGGAGCCCCTTCTCACATGTAGAGTCTCCCTCCTCCACCAGTCTCGCAGAAGCAGGTCGCGTTTATTCAAATAGTAATTCAGTTTCCTCATACTCACCTTCTGGGTGGATGTGAGGAGAAATATGTACTAATAGTGCCTAGTGCTCAAGAAAAGGTGGCCACCGACAATACTACTATTAATAATCAAGACCCCCTTGCTTCTCTTAGGTTGTACATTCTTAACCACATCATGAAGCACCTGTGGAGGAGAATGACCTTCCTGGTGTTATTGTGGCATTGCAATATTGTGTGTTGAGATACACTTTAATAGAAGATCAGGATCAGGTGTGACCCACAAAAACTACAGATCTCAAGAGAAAATGAATCTGACTCAAAGGTTTGCTATTTTCACTCTCAAAGGCATTTCTTCTTCAATGTTAGTTATTTTGAACAGATAGCATATGCTGTGGATTGATTGAACTGTGTCCCCAAAGTCCATAATATTAGAATCTTAATCCCCACTGTAACTGTTGAGGGTGAGAAATCCTATTACAGTAACTGAAAGGTGGAGCCCTGAAGAGGTGATTAAACTGTAGGACCATGCCATAGTGAATGGATTAAAAATGGTAGTCAGGGGTGTAGTTCTGAGGGCATTAAAAGGAGAGCACATGAGAGGTTAGTCCTTGCTCCATTTTCTGCCATGTGAGACCCCTGGGTCACTATCACCACCACCAAGACCCTCACCAGATGTGTTCCCCAGACTCTGGATTTCCCAGCCTCTGAAACTGTAAGCAATAAATTTTGTTTTCTTTATAAGTTACCAAGTTCCGTGTATTTTGTTATAAGCAACAGAAATGGACTAATACAGCATATGTTTGCTCTACAAACGTAAAAAGAAACAAAAGACTAGACAGTGAAACGTTAGTTTTCTTCCATCCTTTTCCCCCTCAGCCATCCTTAGTGGCTACTACTAACATTTCTCCAGTATCTTTGCAAACAGAAATGTATACATTTTCTTTGTCCCTATGCACAGGTACGTAACATACTTTACACACTATTCTCCACCTTGACTTTTTTCTTGCAAATAAATCTTAAACATCTTTCATGTCATCACACATAGAAGTCACTTTTATTCTTCAATGCTGTGATCCATAGAGTGGATGCACATGATTTCCTTAACTCCCTATGGATGGATACATAAACTGCTTCCAATCCTTCCATACTAAAGATAACGCTGTACATAGGAAATTGCACAAACTTGCTAGTCTATCCTAGAATATCTTTAGAAATAAATTTGCTGGGTCAAAGGGCGTGTCCTTTATGAAGGCTAGTATATCCTTCCTCGTCGCTTGGTTTATATCCTAATTCACACCCCTGCCAACAACATCAGGGAGTCCCTGTTCACCACAGGCATTTAAGTGACCAAGACTTCTACACCAAAAAAGCAAAATCCACAAAACTGTACAAAACCAAACAGCCTGGAACACTAAAGAACAAAAGCCTTCCGTGTTTTCCTTTCTCTGCTTCGATGCATCATCCCAAAGTCGTGCTGAGGTTTACAAGCTCCTGGGCGAGTGTCCCGGCAGGACACGCAGGCCATCACACATTCTCCGTGCAGTTCTCACGTGCTTCCCTCCACGGAGTCGCGGTGACATGGGTCTGGGGGATGTGCCCGGGAAGCTGAGTCCCCGCTGCTCTAGCCGGCCCGGGCTCTGCCGGTGCGGCCGCGGCGACGCCGACTGCGCCCCGACCCCAGGCAGGGCACGCTCGTGGGTGGCGGCCGCCTGGTAAGCCTCCCTCGCGGAGCTGGGCACGGAGGAGGAGAAAACGACGCCCCGCCACAGAGCGTCCCTCGGCGGGCCGACCCCCCGCACCGCCCCCTAACAACCACCAGCCAATCCCTGCCGGGGCCGGCTATTTTACGGCACCAGGCCCCGCCCGCACGAGCCGCCGGGGCGGGGGGGGGGCGGAAAGGAAGGGGGCGCCGCACGCCAGCCAATCCGGGCCACCGCCTAAGGCCCTACGCCCTCCCATAGGCCGAGAACTGGGCGGAGAGCGCGGCCGTAAGGCGTGGCCGAGTGTCGTGAAGTGGACCCGCGGGCGCGGGCGCGCGCGCGCGCG